ATGTGCTTGTGCTTAATTGATGGTTGGTTGTATGGTTTTAAATTTGTTTTTAAAGCTCGAGATTGTCGAGGAATTATGGATGAATGCTTGTATTAGTTGCCCGGGGGTTGACCAGATAGTTTTATTAATTAGTAGAAGGCATGTACATCCACTCGTTGGATCTAGGAATCGATTTTTGTAATTTTGTAAATTATATTTTTCGAATTGTGATCGACCGTTGGAGACTGGACCTTCACAAATATTCAAAGAGACTCGATAAAGCAAGGAACAAACCGGAGCCGGGAGCCAAGGCAGGCCGGCGCGGCCGCGGCTTCTACTGGTGGAGGTTTTGTAGAACTTGCAGTACAAGTCAACCGGGATTCTACTGCAGTGGGAGTTCCAGTTGGTTTAGGACAGAAATCCTAATCCAAGGAGAATAAATACTTAATTGGCCATAATAGTGGATATTTATTTATGGCATTAATTATTTATTTGTTTATTTATGCATGGGAATAATTATTGCCTTGTGTGCATAGAATTATTTAGAATTACATATATAAATATTAAAAATCCTCATTTAAAATACTAAGTTGAGAAGGATATTTAAAGTTAAGATAATTTTAAATTCCTAAGGCCTCCATTTCTAATTCGTTGGTAAATCAATTAATTGATAGTGTGGGCTTCCCCGAGGATGACATTACTTGAAAATTAATTGAAGGATAATTATCAGAACGAATTTCTAAATTTAGACGGTTAGAGGAAATCGAATGAGAGCGTACGGGTCACCCCGAGGTGAACTATGATCGATTTTGACGACCTTAGGACCGAGAAATGGGATTCACTTAGAATGCGTATCATTTCATAACCCCCCAATGGGTCCCTGATTTTTATTGCATGGCCAAACGGTGACGGATTATTAATTTCGTTTGTCATGAAATTGGTTTTGACTAATGGAAATTAATTGGTTCTGGAAAAACCCTTCTTTAAAGAAACGAATAATTAGTAGAGTTGCCCGAGCATCATACTAAATTCTCAAGGTTTAAGGATGTCGGTGAATTTAAGTTAGTATTGTTTTGAGGATGTCAATATTAACAGTTAAATTCAAAATGTTTAATCAGTAAAATATTTTCGTAATTCTCAGTTCATTCATAATGTCGTTCAATCCGTTGTCTGTTATCCTAAAAGAAAATCAACTCACCGGTCCTAATTACATTGATTGGAAAAGGAACTTAGACATAGTGCTTACTGCTGAAAGCTATAAGTATGTGCTAACTGAGGCTTGTCCTGATGTGCCGGCTGATAATGCCTTAGATGAGGAGAAACAGGAGTATGCTCGGTGGAAGAAGGCTGATGAGATGGCGAAGCGTTACATTCTGGCTTCTATGTCAAATGTCCTTCAAGATCAGCATCAGTCAATGGCCACTGCTGCAGATATGCTTCTGAACCTCAAGGAACTG